TTCCTACTGAGACCGTACAGCCATAAGTTCCTCTCAAAAAACTCACTTTTTTTTTCTGAGCACAGATCTGTTTATATTGTACCTGGAGTTAAAGGGGAATTATGTAATGAGTGAAGAACACTCATCCCCATAATTCAAGCCGACCTGAGACACTGAAGCTGTCACAGGTTAGCTCTATTGATCAGGAAGTCAGTGCACACTGCCAATTGCTAACTTCCAGATCCTCTCCCTGCAGAGGGCAGTGACCGTCAGTCACTGCTCCCCGCAGGGAATCCTCCCCTCTCCATTTCTCCGGCGCTGACTTGCTATGGGAGAGGCAGAGCCAGCTGTCAATCAGCCAGAGGGGTGGATCTTGACAGTATTGTCGGTATCTGTCCCAGCTGCGGTGCAATAGCCTACTATATGCTGAGTTTTGGGTCACTGGGGGAGATTTGTTTATGTCCTCCTGTGACCCTGAAGAGAACTATGGCAAAACAAGGTTAGGTCATAGTTAATCAGAGATCTAAGCCCAAATAGCCAGTGCCAAGGTGTCTAGCTATATCCTGGTAAATTATCTCGTGTAGCAAATGCTTTTTGGAGGTTAGTGATTTCAAGGCAATCTAATTTTTCATATGTGTTACAGTATTTATTGTAAATCTAGTTATGTTCTTTAGAGCATAATTACCATTCTGTGTTGACTTTGAAATATATTTAGACCTGTTAATAAAGGTGGATGAAAGGGCAACAGTGATGTGTAGTAGTAGTAGTAGTAGCAGTAGTAAGTAACCAATCTATTTATGTATCTTTATTTTCATGTCCTGGATATTTTTTTGTCTGGATTTGATGGAGCTATTGTAAAGGCAAACTGTTCTCTATGCCATCTGTGCTCTGTTTTTTTAAAATCATGTATACCAAGGCACTTTTTTCTTATCCACCTCAGGATGGTTGTACATTCATATACGGTGCAGTTTTGAAGTGGTTATACCAAAATCACAACTGCTGCAGCATCCATAATCTTGGTACTGTCATATACAAGGGTTCGACCATCTATAGGTCCACCTGATCGCTTGTGTGGAGCTGGGGAGTGTGGGTAGGCCCCCCACCTGATGCCGCTGCCAGCTATACCAGGCTCCGCCATCCACAGTTTGGGCCCAGGAGCGGCACCTTGATCAGAGAGAGGTCAGCACACTTCCAGCTGTTGATCTCCCCTCGGATCACTGAAACTGAAGTGACATGTATTACATCACTTCCAGTTTCAGACTGTCATTTCTACGACAGCTGCAGCTGGGTCCAGAGGTGACATTAGGTTTCTAATAAGTAAAGGATGGACACCGACACTCCAAAGCAAATCCAGTATGTCTATTGATTCACGTACTTGTTGCAAATGCAAAACACAAGTAGTGTCTTGTGTTTTGCATTTTCAACAAATACGTGAATCAATAGACGTACTGGATTTGCTTTGGAGTGCCGGTGTCCATCCTTTACTTATACTTTGACGGAAGCCACGTGTTGCACCCACTTCTTATCTAATGGAGCAGCGTTTCTGAGTGCGATGGATACACGGACTGTATCAGGTTTCTAATAGACTCCTGATGTCTACATTAATAGGGGCTGTCATTTCCTTTTTGCTATCACATATGGGGTTTGCTAGATAGCAATACAGTTGTTTTGAAAAAAGCTTATAAATAAGTCACATAAATAAAACCCAAATACCATGAGGTGCTCATATGTGTGAAAATTACAGTTTCACCTCACATGTTGCATATCACTGTGAACATCTGAGTAAGAGCAATAAGTGTTTTTATTAAGTTTCTATCCTATTTTAGTATATTTCTAAACTGAGGAAGAAAACTTAATCACTATGCAGGTCTTCTTTTATGCACCTCTATGTCACATAAATATGAGAATTACATTTCGTTCCTGTTTTAAAAATGCAACACTAAGTTTTTGTTTTGTTGGCTTCGGTTTTTTACATATGGCATGGTGAAGAAAACCACGAGGTCTATTTTCATGTCATTTTTGTTCTGTTTTGGCTACATATTTCCCAGTTGTGTTTTTAGAGTAAATAAGGAATTATAATGAGGATCAAAAATGGAATTAAGACTGTATCAAACAAATATATTTTTAAATGCATGCAATAAAAGTGCCTGAATGTGTCTTTATAATATCCTGTACTGGGAGCAGAAGGGTCAGCACTTGTTTTTGCTTTTGCAGCTATTGGTTTATCTGATTCTTGTAGTAAAACCAAGGTATCTGACCCAGTAGTATTTAACGTACTTTACAACAAATGTTATGTACACAAACTACTTGGTTTCAGGTAAAACAATGCATAAACATACAGGCTGCTAGTACATGCGTACACATGCATACACTATACCCTTCTCTTGCACATAACGGTTTCTATAAGAGGATAAACTAAAAAGTCACTTGGCTTTGATTGTTGCTGGTCTACTAATTCCATATTGAACAGAACTTCGTGGCAATTAAGCGGAAAATGTCTACTTATTGTTGTCCCCTGTTCCAGTGAGGTCCTCCCAGGTCCCAGTGAGGTTCACTCTCATTTAAAAGGGATCATTTTTTTTTTCTTTTTTACCACCTAGGACGTCAATGGACTAAGATGAACGTTTCTTTACTATGTGTTTATTGTCCAGGCTTCATCATTTGACAGTCTATAATTGCACTTTTGCTTTATTCCTTAAACAGACCTGCCTTCACTACCATTACATTTAACCACATTCCTGAAAGATACATTTAAAAAATATATATATTTATAATAGTTCAGGCATTTAGACTCACAAAAGAGTTTCACAGATCTTTACTGCCTTGTACATTTACCATCTGTCACCATTATGCCATCACTTCAGACATACACCATCACTCTGTAAAGTAATACCCTTTCTCTAAATAATATATTAAACTGTGTTGTGCTACAGAATTTACTTTCATTGGGCAAATGTATGGTTTGCCTAAGGCAGTTTATGTCATAAGCATTAAGGACATTAAAAATTGATTCATCAATACACTTGACATTTTGAAAATGGTCTATAAGGATTCTTCTAGTTATGTGCAATGCAGGAACTGTGTGGTCATTGTTATGTGGACATAGTCATGCTGTGTCCGCAATTATAACGATCTATATATTCAGGGGTTATGGATGATCTATGTTTGTTCTTGCAGGTCAGGCAACACCATAGATATTTTATTTAGAGATCTGAATAGTCTTCCATGTATAAGTGATCAAGACGTGCCATGTAACAGCCAAAGCAAGACAGTTTAGTGCACATTTCCTAACCACTCTTCTGCATCAAGCCCCTTTTACTGCAGCTATCGTCCTTGTACCCCTGAGGGTTCCTTAAATAGAATGATCTTGCTTTGTATGTTCCTGATATATGTATATATGTATATATTATACATACTTTTTTTAGTGGGCCAAGAAAACAAAGATGATATACCTGTAAAGTTGGCAATGCACGTCAATAAAGAGTTTGTCCGGTTAAGGTAGATACCTTAACCTAGCCCTAAACATATTTATCTGATGGCACAATATCCATGTAGACTTGCTAAACTACATAATATGAAGGCCTACATAACAATCCATGGCGTTTGTATCCAATTAGGCTGTATGTGGTTGTTCATACAGCTAAAAGAGATTGCACAATAAAAATGTAACTTGCATGTTTACATTTACAAACAACCATGCACTGTAGCCACCACTCCAAGCTCGCTCCCATGATGGACTACAATCTCAATACAGATTAGTAAACTAAAGGTGAGATTGTAGTGCTTCACAGGATCGAGCTTGGAGTGGTGGCTACTTTACAACACACACAAGGACCATGGGGAACAAAAGTAGCCACCCTCCAGAAGAAAGGACAGTGTTGGCAACAATTCAGAGAGGATTTGAGGATCTACAACCGAGTGATACACAAATGAGATACAGTTTTGTTGGGTACTTTGATGTATTTTTAAGATTTAATGCCTGAGTTTAGTGTCAATCTATAAAGGATTCTATAGCCAGCTTGTAAAATGTTTGATCAGCTAATTGGGGGCAGTGACCTCAATGCAGAAATTTCATTTTTTGGTTCAAGTTCATTAGAAATATTACAAACCGCTATTTTGTATCTTTTTCAAGATAGTCAGTTAGATGTGTCTTCCTGCCCTAACCAATTTAGGGGTGTGCCCTTTTGTGAATCTTTCTGCAGTGTGCAGAATCTGATCTCCTTGCTGGTAAGGTCTATTTTTCCATTAGCTGTTATCCAAATCTGCAGAAAGCCGGTGTCCTTGCCTTTAGTCTGCAGCCTGCTGCCTTGAAAGTAGTAAATAAGAATTATGCTTGTGCATGTTTTCCTAAATAGAAGTTAATGAAATAAAAACGTTTTAAAATGCAAAAACTATACACTGCATTAAAACTGTATTTCCACTTTTGTTTTTAAGTGTCCTACCCGTTTCTCTTCTGAAGAAAAAGGCGGTTTATTGCAGCATGTCCTTTCGAAACTGATCCCGTAATGGGAGGGTCTGGGTTCATTGTAATCAGCTGGTGGACTTCCTGTTTTCTAATGAGGAAAGGTGCAGTGTCTGCATCACCCTAGTAGTAATTAACCCTTAGGGTTAATTCCTATTGCAAGGCATGCCCAAAATTATACTTGTATGTTAGTGCAGACTTGGGAGGAAATTAGTCAGCCAATCGCAGAAGCAGGAAGTTACATTTCTGGGGACGTTCCATACACCAACTGTTTAATTTAGAACATTACAGCGGCTACAGTTTTTTAAATGGAAAGATAATTTTTAATCAAATTTTATATTACAAAATGGCTTGTGTGACAGTTGCATATGCTTCATTTTTGGTTTTTAAAGTGGAGTTACCCTTTAAGGTCAGACAGTATTTATGCTGGTTGTTTGGTTAAGGAGATCAGCTAAAGAAAAATGATCCAGTGCCCTGAATACATTAAATAGTATTGTGGTGGTCGGTAAAATAACCTTGAACAGTTTTAGTATGTAATGGGTTTTTGTTCCAATTTTAGCCACTGATCCCAAGGAGTCCCACCAGTGGAGCTGCTACCCCATCAAGTACAATCAGCACACCTACTAAAAGAGACAGTACTGCTCTTCAAGATCTCTTTATCCCACCACCTCCATCAGAACCCTATACACCAAGGTATGTAACAGAAAACTACCTAATTATATGCCAATATTTGATTGTGTTTCCAAAACTTTATCAGATGCTTAAGGGTTTGTTTTGTAAATGTTTTCACACAAGATTTACAAGTTGTTCCATTTGGACTCCATGAATGCTGTGTGAATCTTCTGTGATAGATAAAGATATTTAAACAGACACTTACTGTGTGTGGGTTATGTTCACCTTATCAGGTGGCTAGATGTGGTTTAGTGTATGCTAAAACTAGACATGTGCAATTCGTTTCTTTCCGAATCGAAATTCGGACGAATTTTCGGAAATTCGGACATTCGGATGTATCCGAATTACAGACATAACGAATGCAAACGAATCCGAATTTCCATTTCCGAAATTCGGTAGCGTTAGTACGAACGTTCGTTTTGTTTTCTGTTCTTATTCGTTTCGTTCGTTGGAGCAAAGTGACATTAGAGAAGGAGAAAAATATTTTTTCCCCCTCAAATGTCACTTTTGCTGCAAACGAACGAACGAAACGAATAAGAAACGAATAAGAACAGAAAACGAAACGAACCTTCGTACTAACGCTACCGAATTTCATCCGAATTGACTTTCACACCCGAATCCTGAAAAACGAAATAACACAAATCCGAATTTAAAACGAAACGAAACTAAACAAATTTTTTGGCAGTGCACATGTCTAGCTAAAACATGCAATTTTTTAAACAAATAATTTTACAAAGCCAATAAACTTTATAACAAAACAAAATAATCAGGGTTGTAAATTTAGATTTTTTTCAAAGTACTTTGCAACAATAAAACTCATATTTTGAATAAAATATTTATGAATATTCTTTATAGCAAATCGGATTTAAAAATGCTATAACCCATAGCAGCCAAAACTATACTCTAGTTTCTGAAATTCAGCTAAAGTAAAAAACAGTCTGACAATTATGACCACAAAGGAAATTTATATAGAACACACACACACACATATATGTGTGTGTGTGTGTGTGTATATGTATGTTAAATTTTTTTTATTTCAGGAATTCTCGTTACTTCCAATTTTCATTGGACTAGTCTAATAGTGAGTTCATCCTGTTTTGAACTGTTGATTTAGCTGTCTACGTTTTGGTTTTACCCCTGTAAGACCACATTTTTTCATTTGGTTTTATGCTTCGGAATTGATTAATTTGTTTGACCAGTAATTTTTGGCTATATAGTGCATTGATGGTATGCAATGTTAAGTTAACCATAACAATCAAATGTAAGTTTATTGAAGTGAGATTTGGACTTGGTATATACTGATTGGTTGCTATTGATTACTGCTTTTTGGATGCTTAACATTGCTCTTTGTCTTGTTGACATGTTCTGTTTATATCTAGATTGAATGTATAAATTCCATAGATGTCTAGAATCTCATTATACTAAAGCTTATTTTAAGCTACATATCTGAAATATATTGCTTGAAGTGAAGTTGCAGCCTTTACTGAATAATGTCTGATGTGCAATAATCTTTTATGTAATGCATCAGTAATGTGTTACCTTTTCCTTGAGTGCCCTCAAGGAAAAGGTCTAGGCAGGGGTTGGATTTACGCTCTCTGCTGCCCCAAGTCCAGGTCCCTCAATGTGCCCCTTCCCGCCAAAGCCCCCCCATCCCCCAATGGAAAATGGCAACCAGATGGCGGGGTGGCAGGGTTGGTTTTTTTATTTTTAAATGTTTATCTTATCTTTTTTTATATCTTATAATTTTTTTACTTTTTAATT